TGTGTGTGTGTGTGTGTGTGTGTGTGTGTGTGTGTGTGTGTGTGTGTATTGGACAAATTGGCCTACTCACTATACCCTAAACCTATTGTATTTTTTTTTTTGCTCCCTTTGTGCTTCTCTTCCTCTGAGCTGAGAGGCTTTCTCCCACATTCTATCCTAAATTCTACTCAACATTCCAGGCCAAGTTCAAATGAGGTATCCCCTGTGAAGTTTTCTCTTATTTTCGAATCAGATGTGACTTGTCCCTCATTTCTGACATACACTAACGTACTTTGAACCTCTTGAAATACTAGTATTCTGCTTTACTTTGCACTTGGCCCTGAAGGAGATACAAAATAAATAAGACAAAATTCCTGCCCTCAGTGAGCTGATAATCCCCTCCTTAACATCTTTGTGGATGCTACAGCTCAATTATCCATCAGCTCACTTAGAATCATGCTGAAAGATTTTTTAGGATAGGAACTGTCTCATTCTCACAAAATAGATCAACATCTTTCACAAAGTAAGTATTCAATATACTACTTCTTAATAAAGGTAGATTACCACAAATAAATGTATAATCCTACTCCCTATCACCATCATAACTACCACCACAAACAAAAAGCTGAAAATGACCGATTTTCTGAAGAAACTATATCGTGATATTTAAAGGGAAAGAGAACATAATATTTTATTATTTGAAACAACAATTTAATTCAATTGAAAAAATATTTATCAGGTACCGATGTATTAGGTTTCGCATCAGATAAAAAACAAAACATGTGCTCTCTAACCTTTAGGAATCTATAATCTTGTTTGGGAGACAAAACTTAGCTCTCACCAGTACCAACCTTAATTATAAATTCTTCAACCAGAATATCTATATTTTGTTCTCCTGAAACATGCTCACGTTTTTCCATAAGTAAAGAGCAAGGCTGTAAAACCTAAATCAAAAGAAATGGAATTTATACTTTAGTAATTATGTAATCACTGCATAGCTAAATGTACATATACTAGTACAGTGCTTTTCAGAACTCAAGATGTTAAGTAAATGTATCACAGGAAATGAAAAAAACATTTTCTTTCATATTAGCTAAATTCCTTTAGGACAGACTTTTTCTCATTTACGGCAAATATGTTAAACTTTTAAATTTATACCAGTACAAACTTAAAACTCTTCTATTACATTAATTTACACCAAATCCTTAGTCAATGACAGAAGCATGTGTCAACCAACCCCCTCCACCCTGGCCCCCCAAACATACATTCTCTTATGATTTTAATATTTCTTTTTTTTTTTTTAGGCAATTGGAGTTAAGTGACTTGCCCAGGGTCACACAGCTAGTAAGTGTCAAGTGTTTGGTCTGAGGCCACATCTGAACTCAGGTCCTCCTGACTTCAGGGCCAGTGCTCTATCCACTGCGCCACCTAGCTGCCCCTGGATTTTAATATTTCAAAGGCTTATTAGAACAGCTAAATAGAAAATTTACAAGCTATTCAAAAATATTAATTTAACAGAAAGCTCTCACTGGAATATGTTTATCATTTTTCAAACTCCATAAATAATGTACTGAAGACATTAATTAAACTTGATTACACTATACCACAGGAAAAGTTCAAAAGCTAAAAACGTAGCCAGATCAGGAAAAAAAAAGCATAACCTTTATCTAACAATTTTTACTTATGCTATCAATTCAATGGTTAAAAAACAATTATTTTCTGTCTCAATAAAATGAAATTATTCCTTTTTAGACTACTGTTACCTAAAATACATGGGAGTTTATAAATTAATAGTCTAGTTTCTTAAACTAAGCTGAGAATTATATTCCTTTTCACAAATCAGTATACACATCAAAAAATCATTACAGTTTTAACATCATGATTTTATAATTCTCCTTTCAAATAGTTATATATTAAGCATGCCAAGTAACTACAGCAGTAATTATGACAACTAGTAAAAGTCATGTTTTCCAGGGATATAAAATAAACTTTTAGTAATGACATGTTACAAATTATGCCAAGTGGTAGTAAAATTTTTTTCCTAATCCATAAGTTTATGCTGTTGAAAAAATAATACTGATTCTTGCTAAAACTCAATTCCCATTCAACACAATTACTGTCTGATAATTTTAATCATTCATTTCTGCAGTTCTCTAACCTGAAAATTAGAATCAGAAGTAATTCTTACCGTAGTAACATTTTTTGTTCCTTTTACTCTGAGAAAAGGGCAGGCCAACACTTTCAGGTCTTTTACAGATGCTATCATCTTCTGCTCAAGTTTGGAAGATGATAAAAAAATGTCACATTTAAAAGATGCTGTCAAAGCAGGGGCATCAGCCTTTGCCAAACTGGCAACAAATACCACTTCTGGATCTGTAACCTTTGCCGTTAAAGTCATATTTGGCCTTCCAGAACTTTCTGAGGAAAAAAAACAAGAAACAATGCCTGACACAAAAAAGTTGACAGAATCTCATCACAATAATGTTGTTATGTAAATAGAGTACTGTACAGTTACCAACTATTCACAGAAAGATTAAGTATACTGAAAAATCTTCCTTTCAAGTTCCTGACATAATTATTGGCATCTTCAAACATTTGGGGACAGAAAAGTAAGGGACACAAAGAAAATCTTTGATGTTATCAGTTGATACTTGTTTAATTTTACTTTTCTGTGGACTTCTAAGTCTACTATACACAAAATTTGCAATAAAAATATATAAACGGCAAATGACAGTCTTCTAATGTTTAACGTTCTGTAGCTGTTTAAAGAAATGGATAAGCCTAGAGAAACAGTTTATCTGGGAAAATCAATTACCTGGTAAGTGACTTTAAAAGTTTGATGAGATGTAAAGATTTTATTTTCTTGAGATACAACAAAACTTCAAAACCATAGATGTAGATATCTGAATAAGAGGACTTTGGAAATAGCCTAGCCAGATCCTCTTATTTTACAGATGAGGAAACTGAGGCTCACTGAGGTCTCAGACTTGTCAACACAGATCTCCTGAAATCTCACTCCTGTAACTCTTTCCACTATACAGCTCCATTAAGGAATTTCTAATTAGTAAATCTTTTTGAAAAGATACGCTCACATTTTAAACTCTAATCTGTATAATGTATGCGAAAAATTTCTTTTGTTTCTTTTTCTAATAGAAAAAAGTTTTACCAACCTCTCTCTGGTTTGATTTTTGCTGAAGTAGTTTGCCTTAATGAAATCTGTGTGGTTTTTTCATTTGTAGCTGTTGAACTTTGGGGAACAGCTTTGATAAAAAAGTCTGCCACTGTCATTAGAAATTCCACACTGGCACATATAAACAGCTTGTCAAGAACAGCATCTATTTGACTTCCATTTTTGTCTTGCTTGTAATTTATGTCAATCATTGAACTTTCATCTTGACCATTCTTCTTGTCAATCATTCTGAAAAAATATCAAGATTTATTTTAGTATATTTTTATTTCTAAATAGTCATTTCTAAATGACTAGCTTTCCATCTTTCATCCAACTTGCCAAAATTTAGTTCGGATCAGGGTGAAATGGAAGCTAGTTAAATAATCAGCCAACATATGGCCTGATAATCATTACAGTTTGATCCATGTTATTAAGTAATTATGGACTATTTTAATTACAACGTAAAAAGTTCACAAACAGCATCTGTCGGAGAAAATCAGTAATTTTAAAGAACAATACAACTCAGTCCCATTAACTTTATAAGACTGAAATCCCCTTATCTTACTTTAAGGAACAAAACTTTCTTTAAGGCTTTGATCTTGTCACCTTCCTTCACAACCTGAAGGACCAATAATTTAATTTAGTTCAATTCAACAAATATTTACTGAATGTTTCTTATGGACAACTGGACTAGTGGTAGGCATTACACATTTTGATTTGATTAAAAAGAGTGTCACCAGTAAGATAAGAGCTCCTTAGGGAGGGATGATGGCAAATGTAAATGGCATACCACTTACAGACTAAAAAGATAATGCTAAAACCTGCTTCTTATTCTTTTAAAAATTATGTGTAATAAATAATTCAGTTTAGTCATTTTTCAGTCATGTCTGATTCTTTATGATCCCATGTGGGGTTTTCTTGGCAAAGATACTGGAGTAGTTTGCCATTTCCTTCTCCAGTTCATATTACAGATGAGGAAACTAAGGTAAACAGGGTAAAGTGACTTGCCCAGCATCACACAGCCAGTAAGTGTCTGAGGCCAGATTTGAACTCAGGAAGATGAGTATTCCTGACTCCAAGTCCAGCATTCTAGACATATCTACTTCACCACCTAGCTGCCCATTATAAACAATAATAAACATCAATATAACTAAACTTACTTTTAAAAAATAAGCTTTTATTGATAGCTTTTGTTTTTACACTTTCTACATTTCTCATTGAGTCCTTTCCTATTCTCTAAGAGAGTCATTTCTTATAATACAGAATAAAAAAAAAGAGGAAGAAAAACAGTTTAACATAACTAACCAACATGTCAAAAAAGTCTAATATTCTATGTATCAATAGTCCCCCACTCTGAAAAGAAGTGGGGAAAGGTTAAAAACTGCTTCAAAAATATTAGTTAAATCCAAAGGTATTTATTAAATACATATGGAGAGAATACATGCACAGGATGTGTTCAACGAATTGCAAAGTTAAACAGGGTATTATTAAACTTTTTTTCCCATAAATAAAACAAAAGTAGGTGCTCCTTTGTTATGAACTAGTGGAAAGCTTAACAATGGTATTAAAATAAAAAGTTCTTTAAGTTTGCTTGAAATTCTCATTATTGCTGTAGATTAATAAAAGACATTCCAATGGCATGCAATTCCTATTTGTGGAGACCACAAAGATGTTTCTCAAAAGAAAAAAAAAAAAGAGTTAAGCAAGGGAAGTACAAGCCCTACAATTTTAGATGGATTATGTTTATTGTAAATAAGTCAGAGAAACAGTTTATCAAAAGAAGTATCCAGCTTTAAAGCCAGGAAGGCCTGGATTCACTTTCAACCTCTGACAGTGTGATCCCACCAAGTCACTTAACCTCTCAGTGACTGAGGAAATTCTCTGAGAACATAAAGTGTAGAAAGTGCCAACCTGTATTGGTAGAAAATGCTTCCTCAACCAGGAGCCTCCTAGAACAGTGAAGTCATTGTTCTAATCCTTAATCCTGTCACTAGTTTACCAAAGCATCTCCTTCTTCCAAATAATTATTTCATTGTTATCTTTATTTCTACTGGAAAGTTTTCATGTATTTTATCATTAAAGTTTCCTTTCAAAGAAAATGATCCATTTTGCCAGTTTAAATTTTAAAGTACAACATGTCAGGATTACTATTTCATATCTGCCATGAAAAGCATGATTATATGATGCTCAGTCAATTTTTGCAAATCAAGTACATTTTTCAATCTAAAATATGCATTTCATCCAAAACACAGCATTAACAAACCTTGAGGTAGCTTTTTCAAC